ATAAATAGGCGGCATGGCACTCACAAATGATGCGGTACAGTATATGAGATTTAGGGCCGCAGGAGTCACCAACCTTGTGGGGCCTGTGGACACAACTGCAAACTAGAGAAATTGTGGACAGCACAACACAACAACAACCAACCACACCACGCCTATTCTGCTGATTACAATGGAATGCTTCTCTCAAAGCTAATTTCAGGAAAGGGAGGGTAGGCTCTGGGCACCAGGAAACACTTGCCAGGCACATCCCGGAAGTGGTGCATCATAGTGGCTCAGAGACAGTTACAAATATTGGTGTATCCCCAGTTCACTTCTCATGTCTGCCATGAACTCCATAGGTGGCATTGGACAAGCCACAGTCTATTGCTCAGCCTTCCTCCCCTGCCATGTCCCCATCTGCAAAATGGAAAGATACCACTGGCGTACCTGCCTTTGCCAAACTGGTGCCCTCCAGATGCTTTGCTGTGACTCCCATTGGCCCTAGCCAGCACAGACGTTTTGGAGAAAAGGCAGCCTTACAGAGTTGTTGCAAAGACTGCAGCTAGGTAATGTACATAAAACATAATATAGATATTAAGGTCCCCCATGCCTACAAAAGATTCCACCCTAACTTCTTTTTTGCCCAGTATGCTGGGACTGCCTCGCCTCGCTCTAAACCTACCTTTTCTTTGAATCCTTTGACTCAGCCCTCTAGTTCCTCATGCTCTGTGCCAGCTGCTGCTGCTGCCTCAAGGAGGACTGCCCTTGAGGAGAGTTTGGAGACTGAAGCTAGTGTAAAATGCAGCTGCTAGGCGGGTCAGTGGGGCAGCCAAATAGGATCATGTGTCCCTTGTCCTGAGAGCACTGCACTCCCTCCCTCAGTACCTGCCCCCTGAGGCAGCTGCCTCACTCTACCTCATGGTATGTGTTGCATTTGAGAAACAAGATGTTTCTCAGCATCATTCCAGAGTACATGTTTTGCTGATACAGAATTACAGTTTATAGAATTGTGAGAGAGTAAGGGAAAAGGTATCTTTACCCAGGTGTCTTAGAGGCTAGCAGAGAAGATGGGCATCTCTTGCACAGGAATTACTGCTCAACCGACTAGGCTCATCAGATGTTTAAATGTGGTATGTAAGGAGGTTAAAAGACACACGCACACCCTTCTATGTAGCATTAAAGGGAGCAAAGGTCTTCTTTTCTTTTTCCCTGCCTTTTCCAGCTGTTGTGAAGCTCTTATCTGAACTGCAGCCAAGGAGAACAAAACAAAGCACAAACTCCAGCACAGCCTTCCTGAGAAGTAACATTTTTGGCTGCTGATGGGCTGAGATTCAAGTATCTCTCTGCGCTAGTGTTTATTTCTTCCAATGTGTTCTTGTTGCCACTGAGCAGGCTGAGTTTGTGAAAACAGCAGGCAGCAGCAGCAGCAGCACACCCTGGGTGAGAGGCAACAAAAGAAAAGGAAAAAAAAGCTGATCAGGCAAGGAAGGAAGATTTGTCCAGGTTTTAGAACTAGGCTTTTCCACCTCCTTCCTCCCCTTCACTCCCACTCATTCTCTAGCTCAAGCTTGGGGTACATCACTCCAGCAGAACCCCTCCAAAAAAAACTCTACACCCGTGGCCCCACCCACAAGAGGGAGAAAGTACCTGCACACACACTTTTTTTCCCAAGGACTGACAGTTAGATCCAATGGAATTAACTGGAACATTGAAGAGCCAGTCAGTTTAGAGTAGACAGTATTGAGCTAGCTGGACCAGTGGCCTGACATAGCTTCCTGTGAAGCTTTGCATTTTCCCCAAGGACTAACTTACAGCATGGTCACTGCTCAGAAAAGACAAATGTTCTGGGGACATGATACCTAACTATTCAAAAGCATGCAGAGAACATAGTCTGAATGTGGGAAAATATGCACATTGAGTTCTCAAATAAGAAAATAAAACGAGGAGGCAGGCATAGGGGCTTGAACCAGAGCCCTGGCTTAGCCCCAGTGCCTTTTACAAGGCAAGAAAAGTATATTGCCGGAGTAAACTGGGGGGACAAATATGAAGATGTGAATAGCTTCATGATCAGGTGATGGCCATAGCCAATGGAAAAATGCTAATGCTTTATGTAACACCACCACCTAGTGGCTGTTTCTGGAATTTGCAGTCTTTCAAAGTCACAGTTTCTAAGTTGCATTATCAAGAGGCCTCCAAAGGCAGCTTGAGGAGGAAGCTTGTCTAGTTCCACTTATGATTGAGACACAAACAGAACCACGTGAACAGAACCACAGGAACTGGGGAAGTCTAGGTGCAATGAAACATAGGGGTTTGCCATGATCCCATCACTGGTTCCGCCGGAGGAAGTCAGGTACAGAGTGGTTTTCAGGAGAAAGTTGCCACAGTCTGAATCAGGATCATAATCCAGATTGGGGGCTGAGGCTGCCTTTTCTCCAGAGTAAATGCAGCCAGGTTAAGTGTGTTTATTAAAGTGTGTGACTAACTAACTAACAACAACAACAGTTTTATTATTTATACCCTGCCCATCCAGCTGGATTGCCCCAGGCACTCTGGACGGCATTTGATCTCTGACCTAAGTTCTCCACCTGTAAAATAGAATCTGTAAAAGACCTTGCAGGATTGTTCGGATGATGAACAGTTTGAAAATTAAATCAGATTTCTTCTCCACCTGTGATCTAAAGGGCCACATACACATTTTGTTCTGCCAACACAATCAAGTGTCATGGCATTTTTCTACCAGGGAGTGGGAGTTGATTGCATATGTGCTCCCTCCCAGAAGCAGACACCATCCCTGCAAATAAAACACAGCATGTCAGGGTGATGGTTAGATAAATCATTTTTGCTTTTATGTGCAGAGGTATTCTGCTTCCACCATCACCTTTAACTAAGCCTACCTGCACAGCAAAGCAAAAAAGAAACTTCTCCTAGCAGGTTCCTAGCAATAACATTTTTGATTTAATTGTTCATGACTTGCAGTGCCAGGAAAAACTTCGGCAACTGATTTTCTTGAAATGGCTCTTGATGAGGATTTATCATCAGGGGCATGGATCTGGTTTTAGAAAATAATTGATGTAGTGCTTTTGAGAATTCACAGCACTTCAAATACATTCTCCATTTTTAAGTATGCTAATTCTTGCAACCTTTTAACATAGGCCAGTATTATTATCCCCACTTTAGATGGGAAAGTGGGGGGGGGACTATGACTATATAAGTGCAAAGGGCTTAGTGTTTATGCATCACTCACGGCAGGTAACTAAAATCAAGAATGAAATTCACTAAAACAAAGAGCCTCCCATAACAGTTAGAATGTGAAGAACAATCCAATTCAAGAAGAGGCAGAGCTCAGATGTTAGAGAAATGGGGGCCATCCATTTAAGAAAGCTTCCCTTAACACCCACCAGGCTTTCCCTCCCCCCTTTCTTGGTGGGTGTAGCCTTTAAGCACTAGTTGAGGTTCTCCTCATGCCTCAATGGGAGGGCATAAATCCCCACACAAACAATGTTGCTGTTGAGCACACACTCTGTTTCTGCGGCGAGACATAATTCTTTTGAAATTGGATCACATCAGGGCTGCAGTGTCCCAATTTCTCCGTGCTAGCGTCCCCGGTTTGGTTTTCCTGTCTGCTTTCCTGACCGGCTGAAGTTGGCAAAGTTGCATCTGTTCGGTCTCTTTCCACCTCTCTCCCCCACCTCCCAATTCCTTTTCATAAGACTGGTGTGTGTGTGTGTGTGTGTTGTTTTTTTCTTTCACTCTCATTCCCTCGCCTTGTAGGCCTGACTGCTTCCTTGTTCTGATGACCTAGAAAGCTAATTCTTCTCAAACTATTGACTGCAGCATAAGAACATACTGAAATAATTTTCCTTGGGAAAGCATTTTTTCCGGGCAACGAAAGAGAAAGAAAAAAAACTTGCTTGAGCATACAAGCTTAAATGGCTCTCTTTGGCTGCATTACTACTGTGGCCACTTAAGAGCTGTATGGGCAAGGATTTCCTGAGATGCCTTTGCAACCCTAGCTAGGACAGTGGATGTGGGCAAGGCCTTTGATATGCAGATAAGCCGCAAATGTTTCCACTAACAGGAGGAGAGTAACATCAGGAATGTCTGGTGCTAATTTTTCAGATTTGAAAATAAGATAAGTGTATTCCATACACTCACCTACTGGAATGAGGGCTGTTTTGTCAATGCCATCTGGGTCTTTTTCCTCGCATGTGTGTTTCATTTGCAGAATTAGTCTCCCATTGGCTGAGGGAAACTGTTTCACAATGGCCAAATCTCTGGAGACTTTCTTTCTTTTGAAGAGATGGTGTTGATCCTGTCTATCGCTGCATCAAGACAGTGCTTAAACAGAAGTACATGCGGGGGGGGTGGTGGACTCAAACTCAGCATCGTTGTGTAGAGTGAACAAAGGCTCTTTTACATCACTCGTGAGTTTCAGGGGAACACCATGGCATTTAAAAGAATGTAAGTTTAGCACAGTTTCAACAATAGAAAAGCAGGAGGCCTGCCTGAGCACTGTTCTTTGTTTTGTGCATCTTGCAAGCTAGTTTCCTTTACGAATGTAGTTTTCTTAAGGGGCTTGGTATCTACCACCAAGCCTTTACCTCCATCTGTGACCCTCTTGTACAGGTGCTTTTGCACATGCAGAAACGTAATCACTTGTTCTTATTTTGGAGTTGTCTGGATTATGTTGTTTAATTGTCACAATGCAGAAATGCAGCTAATTATTCCAAAGGACCTCAAATCTAAATACATATTTGGAAATATGTTGTTGTTCTTGTGCAATGTCCTTTGATGGCATCAATGTGTCTACTCAAGACTTTCAGGCAACAAAGGTTGTTACCTACCCAGATACTATGTTCTGAAAGCAACAGAAGGAAGTTTAACCAATAATGGTGCTGGGAGCCATTGGTAGTTGGAGCTGAAGAGATGGCATGCATCTACATTTCCCTTGGCTTCCAAAATGTTACTTGCTAGTCCTTTCTTTCCCAATTCATACTGATGTGTCCCTCTTCTCTTTGCAGATATGCCACCACTGCTGCCGATGGACCTGAAAGGAGAACCTGGACCTCCTGGAAAGCCTGGCCTAAGAGGACCTCCTGGCCCACCTGGCTACCCTGGGAAACCCGGCATTGGCAAACCAGGGCTCCACGGCCAACCAGGCCCCGCAGGCCCGCCTGGCTTTTCTGGCATTGGCAAACCAGGCATCCCAGGGCTCCCTGGCAAGGCAGGTATGAAAGGGATGCCTGGAATTAATGGTGAGCCGGGCATGAGAGGAGACCAAGGGCCACGAGGCTTGCCAGGCCCTCCAGGAGTGCCTGGACCAGCTGGCATTTCTGTGAACGGAAAGCCAGGCGCAACAGGAAGCCCAGGCCTGCCAGGATTCCGGGGGGAGCCTGGGGCCAAAGGAGAGCCCGGTCCCCGTGGCGAGCGTGGCATGAAGGGTGAAAATGGAGTTGGGAAGCCAGGGTTGATAGGGCCGCGGGGAAACGGAGGCCCCCCAGGCCCTGCAGGACCTCCAGGGCCACAGGGAATTGGGAAACCTGGACTTGATGGGTTGCCTGGTGCTCCAGGTGGCAAAGGTGACCTGGGGCTTCCAGGAGAGCCAGGGCTCATTGGGCAGCCTGGCCCTATGGGCCCACGTGGCCCGCCAGGTGTGGATGGAATTGGTGTGCCGGGGGCAGCTGGCGTGCCTGGACTGCAAGGGCATATGGGCCCCAAGGGAGAACCTGGTCACCGTGGCCTCCCTGGCATGCCTGGGCCTACAGGGTACGGGAAGCCTGGGCTGCCTGGCTTAAAGGGAGATCGTGGGCAACCAGGTGTGCCAGGAATCAGCGGAGAAAAAGGGGAGCCCGGAATGGATGGAGAGCCAGGTGAAATGGGTCCCCCTGGTATCACTGGGGCCCCTGGGATTCCTGGCTCTATGGGTATGCCAGGTAAACATGGCATTCCAGGCCCTAAAGGTGAAGCTGGACCAAGTGGGCCTGCGGGGCTACCAGGTATGCGTGGGGACCAAGGGCCTAGCGGTTTTGTGGGGAAGCCAGGGATTCCTGGGGAGCGAGGATTGCCTGGACCACAAGGGATGCCTGGCCCAATGGGCCCCAAGGGGGAAGGTGGATTTGCTGGTCTCCCTGGGGTCCCAGGGATTACAGGGCCCATAGGCCCCAAGGGGGACGCTGGTATTCCAGGGCAACCAGGCCTCAGAGGCTCATCAGGGATACCAGGTCTGCAAGGCCCTTCTGGTCCAATGGGGCCCCAAGGTTTACCAGGACTGAAAGGAGAGCCTGGCCTCCCAGGCCAACCAGGAAATGGCAAAGTAGGGGAGCCGGGTATTGTGGGTCCCAGTGGGCCACCAGGGGTTCCAGGAAATCCTGGATTAAATGGGCTTCCAGGACCACCAGGGCCACCTGGACCCCCAGGAGCCCCCGGGATGTTTGATGAGACAGGGATTGCTGGCCTCCACTTGCCAAATGGAGGTGTAGAGGGAGCAGTTCTGGGGAATGGCAAGCCTGGGAAGCCGCAGTTTGGCCGAGGGGAACTATCTGCCCAGATGGTACCTGCCTTCACTGCCATCTTAACATCACCATTCCCAGCCTCAGGAATGCCAGTAAAATTCGACAGGACTTTGTACAATGGTCACAACGGCTATAACCCAGTGACAGGAATCTTCACTTGTCCCATCTCTGGCATCTATTACTTTGCGTATCACGTGCACGTTAAAGGAACTAATGTCTGGGTGGCACTTTACAAAAACAACGTGCCTGCCACCTATACCTACGATGAATACAAAAAAGGCTACTTGGACCAAGCTTCCGGTAGTGCAGTGCTTGAACTCAAAGAGAATGACCAGGTCTGGATCCAAATGCCATCGGATCAGGCCAACGGTCTGTACTCCACTGAATACATCCATTCATCTTTTTCTGGATTCCTTCTCTGCCCTACATAACAGCTGTTGGGCACACCTCCTTTAATCCACTGTAGCCATAAACTTGTCCGTTAAAAATAAAATAAAAAACAGTGTCACTGGGAAGATGGTGAAAACCAATGGTGTGTGGAACCATTTTGACCAAGCTGAGAAGATAATTTGAGAGAGAAAACTTTGCTGTTGTTTTCAGTACCATCTTTGTATTCAGAATTTAGTTTACCCTAGTGACTGCACATCGACCACAGATGCTAACTTGAGGATTAGCTGCCCGTCAATTCTCTTAGGATGCACGGAAGGCATGTGATGGACAGCAGCACTCGGGGATCTGCAGGTTGTGTGACGTATCAACTTAAGACATCACCTTCCAAATTTAGCATTTGTTCACTTTTAATCTTTCTGCTCTGAAAGTGTGATTCAAGTCAGTCAAATTGTGACAAAGTGATGAATTATCAAATTGTGGAATGCTTTGCATGAGCACCTTTTACACAATGCTTAACACATCTTTAAATCATGCCATCAGAGGTATATGGGGAAAGGGATGGCAAGTGAAACATATTCCAAAGCCAGAGACTTTTGTGATCCTCTACAAAAACAGGACTCCCTAAAGTGCACATGCTTGATAGTCCCTAAGCAAATCAAGTAGCTAAATATCCTTCACGAGTCAGCAGCCTAAAGAGATAGTTCTATGAACGCTGTTGTCTGACAAAACCAGTGTAAAGGCACTGCAGATATAGGTTCAGTTGCTACTAGCTTGACTTGTGTTATCTTCAAAGTGCCAGTTAAGAGACCATTTTTTTCAGGATGTGTAAACTTATTTGTTGTTCAGGGTGGTGGAAGTACCCAACCACCATAAAAATGTTGATTTTTTTAAAAAAAAGTAGATTTCATGGTAACTTTCCATTCAATCATTTCTACAACGGTGCTATTAGCTACTTAATGTTATTCAGTATAGTGCAATATCTATTAAAAAGGTGCAAAGTGTTGTGTGCAAAGATTTATGTGATTTTGGAAAAGAATAATTTGTCTTTTCTTACCACTTTCTCTCAATAATGCTTGAAATGTCACCTGCCTTACAAGGTTATTCACAGATTTTGGGATAACTGATCATGTGTACAGTGCTTTCAGAAGTGGTAACGCATACCCTTAAATTGCTGAAGAGTGAGCTCTCTCATCTTGGAGAAATAATATGCTGTTTTGGTGATACCACATAAAAATAAGCAAGAGCCTCTTACTGTTTAGGCCTCTTATGAAGAAAATAGATGGCATTAATCCAGTTCATAGTTCAAAGAGCTTCTTTTCAAGTGTCCAGGATGCCACCAATACGGCGAGAGTGGCTTAGTTCAATTTCCCAGGTTTAATGTAGATAAAGGTATTTAAACATTAAAATGCAGTGAACTTTAAATTTGTGAACAAGTATTCTAGGGCGACAGTTGAGAGAGAAAAAAATAATCACATTTTGGTTTGTAAAAATAACTAACACTGATAGATGGATGCTGGAGAATTGAAATTTAGGTCACCTGCTATTTCAGTTGCGCTGCCAACTGCCTCTTCTTCTTTCCTTCATTTAACTTAAACTTGTATGATTTAGACACAAGCAAAAGAATAGGCCCAAGATTTCTGATTCCATCTGATGTTTTCTAAATTCCTGGAGAGGACAAGAATGCCAAAGGCACACTCTGCTTGCAATAACATCTTTGGTTTCACATTGGGTCACCACAGGCTAAAACTGAAGAAGCCAAGTGCACACATTTTCTACGTGCCTAATATTGGAAGAAGGCTTCCAAGAGACTGGTGCTCTAAATTCAAGTCTATTTTCCTGTGAAGTAGAATATTAAGCTTCCATTTTTAACACCATCAGATCTAAGAAAATGTGCTACTATTTAAAAGTCAGATTGGCAGAGATTGAAAGTGTGGTGGATAAGTACTCTAACAGCAGCAGAGAATCACATAAACCCCAGAATTGCTCCTGGGTGTGTTGGTACACAATTTATTTATACTGTGTTCTAACACAGATAACCTCTTTTTTCAGCTCCTTTGGAGATTCAACATTTGTGATCTGGCTGGTAAGACAGAAAACACAATGACAAAAAGCACATTTATCTCCAAACTAAATTGTTCTGTTTCATGGGTGCTGTTCTGCAGCCTCACTCTTCTCTTCTCCCATACAGGGCATAACCCTTCTGCATTTATACAACTTTTTAAACTTCTTAATATAGAGGCTGTTATTACACATAGGAAATGAAGTGTGGAATGAAGAGGCTGATTCGCAAGTCATGAGTTAGCTTTTTTTTTTTTTTTTAATGCAATGCCAGATATTGTCTGTGACAAAGTTTGGGGTTTTTTTGTTGGAGAGCATGTGGGAGTTAGGTTTCAGTCAGCAGAAAGATCAGGTTTGGAAACTACTTTGAACTGTGCATTACAATATGCATTTTTATATACAAATTCTCTCTCTTTTAAAGAAAAGAAGTTTGCCTCTAGTATCTTCATTGCTAACCTAGTATATAGCGAATTTTTAGTTTTGTAAATACTTATGTTACATGCACTGTTTCATAGTAAATTTGGTTTTAAAATGCACTCTTGTTTTGTGATCAAAAACTGGTCTTCACTTTTGAACTGAAACTACAGTACTTGATTGTATTGACCCAACATCAATAAATCTTATTTTACAAAAAGATTTGCATTTCACATTACTGCCTGCAAAAATCATGCCAATGTAAATATTGTTTGTTTGTAAGTCACTTTGGGTTGCTTGTAAGTCACTTTGGGTTGCCTTGGGCAATCTAAAGCGACTAGCAAATTCAATACATAATAATAGTAATTATTATATTTTCACTCCTCGTCTTTAGAGCAAGCCTGTTCTTTGATCACCACTGTGAAAAACAGGTTTTCAAGCTGACCAGGACAGCTAAGGACTGACCCAGAGGCCACTGTATGCACAGGGAGGCCTCACGAGAAAGGTGGCAGTGCCACAAACATTGACACCAACAGTGCTTTTGGTTAGACTTTAAATTCTAACAAACTCTAATTTGAATATTTGTTTCTTAAAAACAAATAGAATTCAAACCAGGTAGGAGGTTATCCTGAGCCATTTTCCTTGGGGGCATTGTACTACTTCTAACACCAACAAAGTTCAGTGTCGGTAGACCTAAACTACACAGTCAATTCCTGAATTTCATTTGGGTCATGTGATCTGGATTTGGCACGTTTGCACAAATGATAGTCCCCCGATGTGGACATCTGGTGGCACTGGAGTCCAGACAGGCATGCTGGGTGGACAGAAATGTGGCACCTGCTCCCCTTCAAACTTACGAGGATGCATCATCCATTTGGCCTTTTGTTTTCTATTGAGGGCAGCAGTGTATTTTACTTGATTTTAAATTTACTACTGGTAACACACATTCCTGGTTATCAAAGACATATGTAAAATCTCCAGATTTCAAGTACTCCAAGATTACTCAGTTACAAGAAAGTCCAGTCTTTCGTCCTCTGGCTTTTGCAACCACACAGGAAATCCAAAAGCAATTTTTGTAGCTACCGTTTGATGAATTTGCACCATAACAATGGACGGAAAGCAGCGCTTACAAATCCTTACCTTGCTCCTAGCAGAGCTCAGTACCAAGGGTTCCCAACACTTGGGCATAGTGAACTGAGAGAGATTTGACTCCAACTGAGATTTAATAATAAAAGTCTAAAAATCAGAGACTGTAAGAGGAGCAAGATATTATGTATGCAGCAGAAAGCAACTGGCACTTTGAGCAATTGTTCTTCTTTGGAAGATGAAACAGAAACACAGTTCTGATGACGAGGTACAGGGTTCCTTTTTCCATGGCTCAAATCCGCTGGCAGTAGAGTTCATACAAGCTGTCAGCCAACTTCTCTGTCTCCTCAAAAGATTCACAGCTATACTTCCAGCTTCGGGGCACCTGCTCTTCCCCATAATACGCCCCAGCAATTGCCCCAGCCATTGTAGCAATGGTGTCTGTATCCCCACCCAATGAGATGCAGTAGACAATGGTCCGTTGCAGACTGTTGAAGTCCTCAGGGATATCTGGGTGAGACTCCATGCAGCGCAGAAAGGAATAGATAGCAGTGGGGACAGAGCGCAGGGCTGCAATGTCATTGCCTGACAAAAGAATTAATTCCCTTTAGCAAGCAACAGCACATGCATCTAGCCTTCCACCATAAACTCTCATTATATTCAGTACAAAGTGATTACTATAGAAACGTGTATGTGTGTGTACCCATACCGTTATATACATGACCATTATGCCTCACATAAATCCACAAGCATGTTATGCTGGCTATAAACACATCCTAGCGTGTACCTCCAAGATCAGATACTTGGAATTGTGGCTACTCTGAATGCTGAAGTTGCATTTCTGCCTATCAACAGGTAGTTCCCAAAAGACCTAACCATTAAAAACTCATGTGTATGTATGTGTTTAAGCTATTTATACCACAACTTTCATAACATCCTATGAAAATTTCCAACAGCCAAGTAAGCACTGTGTGAAGATAATTTGTCTTAAACCTCCCACAACTCATCCACTCTCTCACACACAATTGAGCAATTATTTTACTATTCTATCTTGTTCCTCCCCAATGCTGATGATTTAAATAAACCACACGCTTGAATTTTACAATTCTACAGATTAGTGTTTTACTGTTTTCTGGTCACAAAATGGGATTCCGTGCCTTGTGCTCAATATTGTACATACCTAATTCTGACACCACATCTGATTTTGACACGGTGCTCTGCTCCAAAAATTCTTTGATCTTCTTTAGACGCTTTGAATATGGCAACTCCTCATAGCCCAGCCTGGAGATGAGAGACTGGGTTGAGGCATGTGCTTCAAGGGGGGGGGTATGCTGCCCCCTTGTGTTACATCCAAGTATAAATGTAAGCCTGGCCTCAGATGGCTATTACTTACATTCGTGCATCCGCAACAGACTTGTCATCTGCTTCCACTTCCTCCATGTGGCCTATCAGCTGCTCCACGAACTTTTCCCGATTCAGCTCTACACTCTGTAGAGCGTAGTGAACTGCCAAAGCCTGCAGTATGGCTCCATTATAGCCCAAGGAATTGGAGTGGGTCAATTCAGCACTCAATTTGGCAAACTGCAAAAGCAGAAGACATTGTTGTAAAAATTAAGCCTGAAGAAGGGTGCATGTCTTAAACCAACAGGGTGCGTGTCTTACCTGCCTAGCATCTTCTCTGACAGATGCTGGCAACAAATGTTGTAGGAAGCAGTGACAAAGCAGTCTAAGGACTTCCTTGCCTTTCTGACTTACCCACAGTATCAACATATGCAGTTGAACCTAAGAAGGTAAGGCAACCCTGCTAGACCAGGCCACTATCTGAAGCTGAATGTGAGAAAATTCAGAACAGATTAGACAAACTCATGGAGGATAAAGCTGTCAGTGGCTTCTAGCTATTAAGCAGTATGCCTCTGAATACCAGTTGCTGGGGAACAAGTTAGAAATGTTCTGCTCAGGTCCTGCTTATGGGCTTTCCTTAAGGACCACTATGAGGACAGGAATGATGTTGGACTAAATGGCCCTTTAGCCAGATGCAGCATGGCTCTTATGTTCTTAGCCTGTCTCCACAATGGCTGAACCAATGCTTTCAGAAAGCCCACCAGCAGTACATGAAAGCACTACCCCCACCCTTGTTCCTCAGCAACTCCTTATTCAGAGGAATTTTGTCTCTGAATCTGGTGGTAATTATTAGTGGACTTACTTTCCTTGAATCTGGTGGTAGTTATTAGTGGACTTACTTTCCTTGAATCTGTTTCATCATTTTTTACAAGCCATATAAATAAGTGGCCATCACCACGGCTTCTGGCAACGAATTATAAAAATCCTGAATGAACTTTTCTAAACATCTCTGATGTTTAGAATTCTCTTCAACCTGTTCTGATACTGCTCCTTAGTCCGATGCTGCTACCACCCTGCCTAAGACTTTTTGAATGTTGCAACATGACTCTTCTCAATGTCATGACCGCACAGTACACGTGAGGGGAACTGTTACACACACACACCGTTCACTGACAAGTCCCTGAGAGCTCCCACCAACACTACTATAACAGTAGGCACAACTGCAGCAACTTCCTAAGATATTGGCACCACAATGTGCAGGACCAAATCCTGTAACTCTTATCTGACATCCCATATGCACGGCAACCAGCAAATGGCTGCATTGGAGAGATTATGGGGGATGATATTGTTGGATCGCTCCTTACAGATATTACAAATATTACAAAAACATTGGTCCATGCAGATATGAGACTATTGCATATTTTGGCTAATTAAACCAACATATTATTTATTTATCTGTCACCTAATATGCAAGTTACATGCACAAGTAAAAAGCGCCATCCAGTTTAATAAAGGAATAAACACACAAAAAACAAACATGCACACCCAGAAACAGCAGTAACCATCATACATGTCAACGTGGCACTGGAAAGATGTTAATGCCAGCACTTGGTGGGTCTCACTGGAGACAGCATTCCATACACACAGATATGTCCATCCAGCCTAGGACACTGTTTGTGATACGCTTTTATTGTTATGTAGTCAGCATTATTTCAGCAGGTTATGTATAAGAAATCAACAAACCTTCTTTACATCTTGAACGTTAGAGTAAGCTAGTGAAATGCCTGCTACTCTCATGGCACCACCATTCCCATAGGAGCCTTTCCCGTTAAACTGCTGTCTCGCTGGCTCAAACACATCTCTGCATTTTGGGCGGAGAAGTTTCTTGAATACAGTAATCACACTGGCACCATAGGTCCGGTCAGGGTCTTTCTTGTATTCTTCAGCAAACCTGCAGGGAGACTATGTTAAAATGCAACTCCACTTACATTCTGTGAGCTATCACTGGACAGCTGCTAATATGAAAAAAGAATAGCGCCTAGTTGGTCCAGTTAGCAGGTTGAATTTGGAGGATATATTTATTTCATTTATAAATTGCTTCCCATGAAACATCCCAAAGCAATTTACCAATAAGAAAACACATATAAATACAATTTCTAGGCCAATGAAGATAGGACTACATAAGAACATAAGAAGAGCAATCTATTCTCACAGTGGCCAACCAGATGTCTGTGGGAAACCAGCGAGCAAAATATGAACACAAGAGCACACTCCCCTCCTATGGTTTCCAGCAACTGGCATTTGGAAGTATTGCTGCCTCCTACTGGAAAGGCAGAGCACAGACATCATGGCTAATAGCCGCTGATAGCCCTTGCCTCCACAAATTAATTGGTCTACTCCTCTTTCAGCAAACCTGACTACCGCACTGCTCTCTCCTAACTTTAGATCATAAAAGAACAAGTTAAAAAGCACAGGTCCCAATGCCAATCACTGGGGGAATGGGATAAAAATTTCCACTTAAAAGGCTTGTTGGAAAAGGAAGGTCTTCTACAGGTGCCAATAGGTGAACAATAAGTACAGTGCCTGATTGCCCGGCAGTGGCAAAGTGGGTGAATTAACTGATCATGCTACTTAGTCAAGTTAAAGTTCGCAACTCTGTTTCACACAGGGCGTAGATTCTTCTCAAGCCCTCTTCAACAGTATCTTAGGGGCTGTCCCTGTGTGTTTAGGAAATACATGCAAAGAAGCTCCCTAAACGTTGCCAAACCTGTACATCTCTGTAGTGGAAACAATCAGATAAGAATAAAGGAAACTCTGGGAAGCTTTTCTTTTCCTTGCCTAACACAAGAAAGGAGGACTGAGAAATTCCTCAAAACCTGGGAAGAGAAATGCTTACATAAACTCTCCCCCCTTTTCCCACCACGCCACACAAAAAGGCTCCAGGACATTTCATTTTTGTTAAAAACTGGTATGGTTGGGTAAGCATGCAGGAAACTCTACACAAAGATGCCTTAAGTTGCTCTCATATACTGAGAGCTAAGTCCCAATGAACAGGGTAGATTTTACTTCTGAGTAAATCTGCACAGCATCATTGCCTTGTCTTTTTAAATTTTCAAAAAACAATGTGAACGTGCAAGTTCCCACTCCCACGGAAGCAGTTGAGAAGTGTTTTAGGATACAGAAAGGAATGAATAATCATCAAAATAAAAAAGGACAGAGTCCATTTCAATGATTTCTTTGTCAAACCCACCAGTCCATCCAGCCCATTACTGCGAACTGTGACTGGTTGCACCTGTCCAGAATCTCAAGCTGAGAGAGATTTTCCACACCTACTCTTCAAGATCTCTTGTAACTACAGCACCCTCCTTACCGCTTTGCCATATCCACTTCATCAAAGTCCTGCTTGGCTAGTAGTGACCTCACTATCGAGTGAGTCATAGCTGTGTCATCACTGTAGAAGTGGATTCCTACAAGGTAGGAAGTGGAGAAATGTCAGCATACGACGGATAGACTAGAAAGCACGTGGATGTGTGCTGAGTGTGTTATTTTCCCTTTCCTCTTTCCCCTCAATAAAAATTTGGGAAGAGTAGTTAACTGATAAAGAGGTATCAGGCAATCCCAGAGGGAAGAAGGTCACTCTGTACATGTTCAGAGAACTTCACCCATTCCTGAGTTCAGCATAATCTTAACATTCAAAACGCACACAAGTGGGGCTCAGATAAAGCCTTCATTTGGTGGGGAAAAGAGATACCAGAGCTCACCACCAGACACTCCCTCTCTGCAGTGCCAATACTGGCACTGTGCAATATCAACAACAATAATAAACAAACATCTTATTATAACATGATATGGCAAAATTAGGTTATTTCCATGGCAACAGTCAACAGAAGAATTTCCAGAGCATAATGTTTTTTCATTACACCAAAGGCTCCCAATTTGTCATTGTAACTATTTTGCTTTAGGTAATTGTCAGCTGACTGTTCATTTTGCATTTTCCCCCCCTTTCCTCCAGATCCCTGCCACAATGTGAGCATAGGTCTTTTTAGTGTCTCCAGCCAGATTATGGAACACTTTTATTTATTTTATATTATGTATAATACACAAAATTTTATTATTATTATTATTATTATTATTAAATAATGATTGTTGAATTTGTATTCCACCCTTTCCCCCAAAGCATCCCCTCATTGTTATTTGCTGCTTACTGAGGACCTTTTTATTTTATGAGGTAAACAACTGTTTTTATGTGCTAAATGTGGCTGCTACTCTCTCTTTTTGTCATTGTTTTATGGAATCATAATGCTGTAAGCCACGCTGAAGGAACTGTTTTTACTCTAAAAGGGTGGTTGCCTATATAGGATTAAATCTCTTACAGCTGCTGAAGCAGACTTGTCATTGGGAGCTTATGCTCTAATAAAGTACAGTGATACTTTGGGTTGATTATGCTTCAGGTTGAGTGTTTTTGGGTTGCGCTCTGCGGTGACCTGGAAGTAACGGAGTGCGTTACTTCCGGGTTTCGTCGCTCGCGCATGCGCAGACGCTCAAAATGAAGTCACGTGCATGCATGGAAGTGGCGAATCGCGACCTGGCACGCACAGACATGGGTTGCATTCACTTCAGGATGTGAACGGGGCTCCGCAACTGGAGGGACCGCTTCTGCGCATGCGCGTAGGGCGAAACCAGAAAAATACTTCCGGGTTTGCCGCGTTCGCATCCTGAACGATACGCAACCGGAGGTGTGCGTATCCAGAGGTACCACTGTATATATCTGAGTTTCTAACACTGCTTCCACAGTGGCTGCTCTCCCCAATGCCATCTGTACATCCGGGTGACCAAGAGATGTGGCTTGTATCCTCCCATCCCTCTGGAGGAAATGGCAAGGGCTGCCTCTAGGGTCTCCTGGGGTCTGCACCCACCTGGCATGATTCAGAGTGGGGCTCTCCCCTTGCCTTTGATTCCCACCTCAACCAGCAGGGAAGGCTGCTTTGATTCCCCGCCACTCCACGTTGTCCCTGATGTAGATCTTTACTCACCCAAATCTTCCCTATGTGGATCCGTATAACCCCCTTGTTCCTGGTGCAAATCTTCACACTCTCCTTCTTGCCTGGCTGGGGAGGATGTTTTGTGGTTCACCTCAGGTGCCAACCTGTCTTGGGCCGGCCGTTCTGACAAGCCATTAAAAATAACCAAAATAAAATAACCAAAATAAAAGCACCCGAGTGTTGTTCATCACCCTTTGGATTCTATGCCCCGAATCTGTACAGTGACCATACACAGAGCCAGGAAGCCATTTCTTTCAAAGTTTCCATCAGAAATAAATTCACTTTTCGTCCTCTGCACCCTCAGGCTTGACTTTCCAAGGTCTCTCTCTCTCTCTCTCATATACAGCATCTTCTGTTACCTTGGGTGCTTCCCACCCAACCTGTTTGCTGATTTTGACGACGCAGAGAACCCTACTTAATGAGGATTCACTCCGATTTGTCTTGGGAGGAGGCTAGGCGTCGTTGGGTCAAATCATTCGTTTGCCTTCCCCTTACTGCAGAACAAAAAAACCCCGACGCTCTCGAGAAAGCGGGCTTGTTGAGCAAGACCTCCAAAAAGCCAGCTTCAACTGCGCAAGTTGAATCTGCGGCCTCTGGAGGCAGCCCCTAGCAAGGGGAGCTTCGCAAGGAAGGGCTGATAATCCCACGGCACGAAGTCTTCCTCTCGTGACTGCCCACCGTTTACCGTGGAGAAAATGTCACAGCCCCGACTACACACCGAGGCGTGAGCCGCTCCGCCCCCCCCCCCTGGAATAAATGTATGTGGGGCGGCGGGGAAGGGTCGCTTGCCCCCCCCAAAATTGGGGGCTCTCCCTCCCCCCACACACACCCCGAAAAGGAAGGGCCGCCTCCCTCACCCTGAGGGTCACCATCTGCTGAGGTAAAAGCGGCCCAGCTGACTCCGGAGGCGGCCGAGCCTCCTCAGCCCCTCCTACTTTTACCTTTCTCGGGCGGCTGAAGGGAGCGCACGAAGCGCAGCAGCTCCGCCAAGTTGACCGTCTCGAAAGCTTCGAAGCCGCCGCCCAAGCAGTCGCCCAGCAGCGCTCCGAGCAGGCAGCCTCGGAACCGGCTTCGGCTCAGCACAGAAGCCGCGGCGGCCCCACCGCTCCCCGCCGCCGCCGCCATCTTGGCTCCTTTCGTTCGAGGCGGGAAGAGCGGCGCCCGGCGGCCACGTGCCGCCCCCGCGCGGCTGCAATGGATCCGCTTAGCCGCCGACGGGAGGAGGTGGTCGCCGCTTTCGCCGTCCCGATGCCCTTGTGAAAAAACAGCATTTTGTGTCTCGTTGAGTTTTTCCCTCAGCCGCCCTTTGTTCAGGCAGAGAACGGGGCGGTGTAGGGCATAGCAACAAAACGAAAGAAAAGACGGAAGAGATCTGAACAATAGAATAGACCGCAGGAAAAACCCCATTTAAAAATGCCTGGGCAAGCCTAGCATTGTTACAGCACAGCATCAAGAAGAAGAAGAAGAAGAACTCCTCTTACTCTAAATGAAATAAAAACAAATCTCTTTATGGAGTAGCGAAATTTCACCGTGGAATAGCTTTGTATACTAAGAAGGGCATGCACAGGACACACCTGTCATTTTGTGTCCTGGAGTTACAACCCTACAGGTGTTTTACCTGACCTTGGGGGGTGTGGGTGTCAGCTACTTTAATAGGAAAAGGGTTTTTTTAAAATCTATATTGGCATCTCACATCACTGATGCATTAGGTCACCAGCTCCCTCAGAACAGTGCTACCTCTGGAGTTAACTTGGCCAGAGTCTTAACCATGTTGTGCCCAGGCATGGGCTCCAAATGTAATTTCACTTCTTGGCTTCCTGCAAAGCCAGGTAGCAGATTTTAGGTGCCATTTATGAGTGCAACGTGGGAGAGAAAGACAATTAGACCTGACTTGTAGCAGGCACAATTCCGAGGAAGTTATCCTGCACAAGCCTTACCAAAATATTGTACTTATTTCCCAGTAAATTGTGTTCTGTATGGGAGATTCCAGATGTGATGTTTATTGAGCATTCATCCGGATACATTCACACCGAAGTGATACAACCAGCTAGTGGTTACAGTGGTACCCCGCAAGACGAATGCCTCGCAAGACGGAAAACCCGCAAGACGAAAGGGTTTTCTGTTTCGGAGGCGCTTCGCAAGACGAATTTCCCTATGGGCTTGCTTCGCAAGCCGAAAGCCCATAGGGAAATCTCCGGGGACCTGTTTTAAATTGCTGGCGGTCGGGAGCAAAGACTTTCGCCCACAGCCGGCCTTCAGAAGAGGTCCTGGACCTCTTCTGAAGGCCGGCGGGGGGCAAAAGTCTTTGCTCCCCCCCATAGGCGCCGACTCCATGGGGCTTGAGGGGGCCCGAGCCCCCTCAAAAATTCGTTTGGGGGGGCTCCGCCCCCCCAATAATCTCCGGCGCCCCTCCAGCAGAGCGCCATCGCCGCCCCTCCCCCAGCCCAAAATGCACAGGGAGGGGCGGGCTGCATGCCTCCTGCCCTCCCTCCCGAGCAAAAGCTCCACCCAATTTCCTTTGGAGCTGATTAATAGGCGCAGCACGCTCTCCCCTATTCGCTCACGAGGAGGCGGCGCCACTTTATTTGCATATTCATGAGCTTATTTATTATTCATGAGCTTTCCCGGGCCCCCCCAATATTTTTATAAGTCCGCGTCCCTGCTCCCCCCCCGCCTGCCTTCCCGGGACAGCGGAGACTTCTCCGCTGCCCTGGGCGATCTTAAAATGCTGGCGGGCGGGAGCGAAGCGTTCGCTGCCGACCCCCAGCATTTTAAAATCTCCCCGGGACAGCAGAGAAGTCCCGCCCCGCTCGGGATGGCGGCGCAGAGCTGTCTGCCGTGCCGGGATCAGCGCAGCTCTGCGCGGCCATCGGGAGCCAGGGGCGAAGCCCGCCCCACTACAGATGGCCGCGCAAAGCTGCCTGCAGTCCCGGGACTGCAGGCAGATCTGCGCCACCATCCCGAGCGGGGCGCTAAGTCCCGCCCCGCTCTGGATGCCGGCGCAGAGCTGTCTGCCGTCCCAGGACTGCAGGCAGATCTGCGCCACCATCCCGAGCGGGGCGCTAAGTCCCGCCCCGCTCGGGATGGCGGCGCAGAGCTGTCTGCTGTCCCGGGATCAGCGCAGCTCTGCGCGGCCATCGGGAGCCGGGGGCGAAGCCCGCCCTGCTACAGATGGCCGCGCAAAGCTGCCTGCAGTCCCGGGACTGCAGGCAGATCTGCGCCACCATCCCGAGCGGGGCGCTAAGTCCCGCCCCGCTCTGGATGCCAGCGCAGAGCTGTCTGCCGTCCCGGGACTGCAGGCAGATCTGCACCACCATCCCGAGCGGGGCGCTAAGTCCCGCCCCGCTCTGGATGCCAGCGCAGAGCTGTCTGCCGTCCCGGGACTGCAGGCAGATCTGCACCACCATCCCGAGCGGGGCGCTAAGTCCCACCCCGCTCTGGATGCCAGCGCAGAGCTGTCTGCCGTCCCGGGACTGCAGGCAGATCTGCGCCACCATCCCGAGCGGGGCGCTAAGTCCCGCCCCGCTCGGGATGGCGGCGCAGAGCTGTCTGCCGTCCCGGGATCAGCGCAGCTCTGCGCGGCCATCGGGAGCCGGGGCGAAGCCCGCCCCGCTCCCGATGGCCGCGCAAAGCTGCCTGCAGTCCCGGGACTGCAGGCAGATCTGCGCCACCATCCCGAGCGGGGCGCTAAGTCCCGCCCCGCTCGGGATGGCGGCGCAGAGCTGTCTGCCATCCCGGGATCAGTGCAGCTCTGCGCGGCCATCGGGAGCCGGGGGCGAAGCCCGCCCCGCTACAGATGGCCGCGCAAAGCTGCCTGCAGTCCCGGGACTGCAGGCAGATCTGCGCCACCATCCCGAGCGGGGCGCTAAGTCCCGCCCCGCTCTGGATGCCAGCGCAGAGCTGTCTGCCGTCCCGGGACTGCAGGCAGATCTGTGCCGCCATCCCGAGCGGGGCGCTAAGTCCCGCCCCGCTCTGGATGCCAGCGCAGGCAGATCTGTGCCGCCATCCCGAGCGGGGCGCTAAGTCCCGCCCCGCTCTGGATGCCAGCGCAGAGCTGTCTGCCGTCCCGGGACTGCAGGCAGATCTGCGCCACCATCCCGAGCGGGGCGCTAAGTCCCGCCCCGCTCTGGATGCCAGCGCAGAGCTGTCTGCCGTCCCGGGACTGCAGGCAGATCTGTGCCGCCATCCCGAGCAGGGCGCTAAGTCCCGCCCCGCTCTGGATGCCAGCGCAGAGCTGTCTGCCGTCCCGGGACTGCAGGCAGATCTGCGCCACCATCCCGAGCGGGGCGCTAAGTCCCGCCCCGCTCGGGATGGCGGCGCAGAGCTGTCTGCTGTCCCGGGATCAGCGCAGCTCTGCGCGGCCATCGGGAGCCGGGGGCGAAGCCCGCCCCGCTACAGATGGCCACGCAAAGCTGCCTGCAGTCCCGGGACTTGCAGGCAGATCTGCGCCACCATCCCGAGCGGGGCGCTAAGTCCCGCCCCGCTCTGGATGCCAGCGCAGAGCTGTCTGCCGTCCCGGGACTGCAGGCAGATCTGCGCCACCATCCCGAGCGGGGCGCTAAGTCCCGCCCCGCTCGGGATGGCGGCGCAGAGCTGTCTGCCTCCCGGGATCAGCGCAGCTCTGCGCGGCCATCGGGAGCCGGGGGCGAAGCCCGCCCCGCTACAGATGGACTGCAGGCAGATCTGCGCCACCATCCCGAGCGGGGCGCTAAGTCCCGCCCCACTCTGGATGCCAGCGCAGAGCTGTCTGCCGTCCCGGGACTGCAGGCAGATCTGTGCCGCCATCCGAGCGGGGCGCTAAGTCCCGCCCCGCTCTGGATGCCAGGCGCAGAGCTGTCTGCCGTCCCGGGACCTGCAGGCAGATCTGTGCCGCCCATCCCGAGCGGGGGCGCTAAGTCCCGCCCCGCTCTGGATGCCAGCGCAGAGCTGTCTGCCGTCCCGGGACTGCAGGCAGATCTGTGCCCGCCATCCCGAGCGCGCGCTAAAGTCCCGCCCCGCTCTGGATGCCAGCGCAGAGCTGTCTGCTGTCCCGGGACTGCAGGCAGATCTGTGCGCCATCAACCGAGCGGGGCGCTAAGTCCCGCCCCGCTCTGGATGCCGGCGAGAGCTGTCTGCCGTCCCCGGGACTGCAGGCAGATCTGTGCCGCCATCCCCGAGCGGGGCGCTAAGTCCCGCCCCGCTCTGGATGCCGGCGCAGAGCTGTCTGCCGTCCCGGGACTGCAGGCAGATCTGTGCCGCCATCGCCGAGCGGGCGCTAAGTCCCGCCCCGCTCTGGATGCCGGCGCAGAGCTGTCTGCCATCCCGGGACTGCAGGCAGATGTGTGCCGCCATCACCGAGCGGGGCGCTAAGTCCCGCCCCGCTCTGGATGCCGGCGCAGAGCTGTCTGCCGTCCCGCATCCCGAGCGGGGCTAAAGTTCCCGCCCCGCTCTGGATGGCGGTGCAGATCTGCCTGCCGTCCCGGGATCAGCGAAGCGTTCGCTGCTGACCCCCAGCATTTTAAAATCTCCCCGTGTCCCGGTGAGATTTTAAAATGCTGGGGTCGGCAGCGAAGCCCTTGTTCCCCCCCAGCCCCCCCAGCCTTCAGAAGCCCTTGTTCCCCCCCCAGCCTTCAGAAGAGGTCGGGGACAGACTGTCCCCGGACCTGGTCTGAAGGCGGTTTCCCTAGGACGCATTAATTGATTTTCAATGCATTCCTATGGGAAACCGTGCTTCGCAAGACGAAAAACTCGCAAGAAGAAAAAACTTGCGGAACGAATTAATTTCGTCTTGCGAGGCACCACTGTATCTTACACTTCCCATTTGTCATTTTTCTGTCAATTTTCTTATCAGACTTCCTGTGATTAGAAAAGTGATGGATATTTGCACATGTGCAGGATAAGAACCCTTTTTGTGTGTGTGCAAATTAATTATCCCGCAAGAAGCAAGAGAGTGCACCATTTGGAGTATTTTGCCTTTATAGAGGCGGCTAGTTTCTACATACACTCACACATGCCTTGCTGTCCTCAGTCCTAACAAGCAAGGTGCATTATTGAGTTACAGCTATGCCAAAACATTTTACACATCATGTGTCAGTCAGGAGTGTGGTCATGGGAGAGTTTCAAGGGCCACACAGAGTTGCCTTGAGCACTGCATTTGATCCCTGGCCTGAGATTCCCCAAACGTACTTCGCCAAACCTTTATTAGGCGTTACAAGTATAGGCCATTATAAAACAACCATATATAAAAATTTAAAATATATACAAATAAACAGCCATGTGAAATATATAATGAGGATTTTCATTGGGATTTCTTTCCACTAAAACTCAGCCACCCTTGCAGTTACTTCCGGGTTAATGTCTGACAGAATCCGGTATTTTCAGTTTGCCATGATGTTACACTACCCAAAAAAGGGGATAGCACGTGTTTGAATAGCTGGTTAGTAGAAAAGGATATGTTCTATAGTATCCGGCACATTCAAAGAACATCCACAATGTCTTAAACCACAGAGCCTAGGACTTGCCGATCAGAAGGTCAGTGGTTCGAATCCCCGTGATGGGGTGTGCTCCCATTGCTCGGTCCCTGCTCCTGCCTGCCTAGCAGTTCAAAAGCATGTCAAAGTGCAAGTAGATAAATAGGTACTGCTCTGGTGGGAAGGTAACGGCCTTTCCATGCGCTGCTCTGGTTCGCCAGAAGCGGCTTAGTCATGCTGGCCACATGACCTGGAAGCTGTACACAGGCTCCCTCAGCCAATAAAGCAAGATGAGCGCCGCAACCCCAGAGTCATCCGTGACGACCTAATAGTCAGGGGTCTCTTTACCTTTTACCTACAGTGTCTGGCATATTCAAAGAACATCCACAATATCTTATCATTTCTGGGGATGTTTAAATATCTGCCCTTGACAACAGCTGAGGGGGAAACGTTCGGTTGGGCTAACGTAAAGGCCCTGCGTTGGGCTGGAATTATTAATTTTGATATATCTGTTGTATTTAAACCAGGCATAGGCAAACTCAGCCCTCCAGATGTTTTGAGACTACAATTCCCATCATCCCTGACCACTAGTCCTGTTAGCTAAGGTTGATGGGAGTTGTAGTCCCAAAACATCTGGAGGGCTGAGTTTGCCTATGCCTGATTTAAAATATAGAACTTGGGTTCCCCACCAAATTTAAAGAGATGCAAAAATCAAAGCATGAAAGTACTTGATGTGTCAGAAATACTGTCGCTGGGGACAGATTTATTGGTTATCACACTTTCTTGGAATACCAAAGCTGTAAACAAGGGGAAGCTTTATACAACCTTTGAGAACAGAAATGGGTCAAAAGGGAGAAGGAAAGTCATGTCACTCTTAACATGAGACAGATGTCATCTGTGCTTGGCATGGAAGCAAGTCACTGGGCGGAGGGCAGGGACTGTCACTCACTTCCCAAGCCAATTCCTTCTTCAGTATTACTCAAGGGATTATGCATCTCATGCCATTATTCTAAGCCAGTTCCAGCTGTCGGCACTTGAGGGGTGAAAGAGTGCGATTGGTGGTTCGGTTGAAGGTGTCCACCTCAGGCACAAATTTTTCAGCAGGGATTGTCAGCTTCCGCCTGACATCCATGCACTTGTTATCCAGCGTCAGGGAGTTCAATTTGTAGACGATGTTTGCCTGGATACGGTCCAGGTGTTTGTAGAGAGCATCCAGAGCATCCCTGAGGAAAGAAGCCAAGGTAAGTTGAGCAGGAGGTTGCCTCCATTTGCCTTTAAATCAAAGCAAGTCCTTATCCTTTGGTGTGGTTGGTAGTAACTGAATTTCAGCTATGGCACTGGGGGTGGGGCAACACTGATTTTCCATTGCAAGGGTCTCATTAATCATTTTTTCTATCAGGTATAAGCAGGGCTGGATTTAGGTTTGATGAGGCCCTAAGCTACTGAAGGTAATGGGGCCCTTTATATGTCCAGCTGTTCTTTGTCAACAACAATTTTTTTGTGTTGAATGTAGGCACCCTATATATAGAAATGAGTATGTAGGTTTTATTTTATTTGTTTTTATCTTATATTTTGGAAATTTACATCCAGGTTTTTTTTCCTTTAATTTTTTGGGGGGGCCCCAAGAGAGTGGGGCCCTAAGCTAGAGCTTGTTTAGCTTATACATAAATCCGGCACTGGGTACAAGTTACGCTTATGATGGCAGATTATCTTGGAGAAACAAGGATCTCTCTCCCCATGGCAGGGCCTCCCTGTAAATCGTGTAAGGAACTGTTTTCAGCCTAAGGACCGCATTCCCTTCTGAGCAACCTTCCAAGGGCCACATGCGAGAGTAGCGGATGGGATGAGAAGCAAATGTGAGGGAGCCACAAATGTAAATTTTGCCTTTGTATTATGGTAGGCTAGTTACTACGTACTCCATCTATCCAACCAACCAAGAGACATTATGAGAGTTCAGGAGCAATGGTCCAGCCAGGCAAAAGCTCTTGGAGTGCAGTTTCCATCATCCCCAACCACTGGATATGCTGGCTGGAGCTGATGGGAGCTAGAGTTCCAGAACATCTGGAGGGCAACAGATTAGCCAACCCTGGTGCAAAAGAACAGACTGCGGGGGAAACGTGTCTGACTTCTAAGCTTATGTATTATAAAATATATGCTAAGTCTTGAATTTATTACTGTGGACTTCCTACTGGGACCAGATATTAGCAAGTCATCCCAGGCACTGGAATCCAGGAGATGCCATCTTGCATCTATCACCTAAAGATCATGCACAGAGCCCACTATTACCAGCCTTTGATATAATGCTGTAGTGTGAAAGGCACATTGGTGCTGCATCACAAAATATTTGGAGATTATGCTCCTAGCCTGTATAAAGTCAGCTTCCCATGTTCTGTTTTCACTCATATATCTAAGTGATCCTAGTGAACAGCCATGGCCTTCTGCAACCTAGGCAGCATATGCTGACCCAAGGCCACAACTTGCAACTGATGCTTACTTAAAAACAGCCTATTCCTTTTCTCTGTTGAATTTTGTTTTTGTTTTTAGGGAGGTACATACTGTAACTGTGCCAGCTTCTGATTCAGACAAGCAATGGTGCCTTCCAGCTGATGCACCTCATCTGTCAATCCATGCTGAGCCTGAAAGCCAAGGACAAGAGAGGGACGTCAAGCTTCAATACGTCACAAATGGTAGCTTAGCCAAGAAAAGTTGATTACTCCTGGGTAAACTGTCAGCTCCCCCTAATATTACTGTTATGGTCTGGCTTCTACAAAGAAGCCCAAGAAGCTGCAAGGCTACCACTATTAGTAATAGTAATAGTAGTAGTAGCAGTAGTAGTATTTCTATACCACCCTTCAGCTGAGGATAACAAGCAGTTTACATTATAAAAACACAAAAATACATTACACAGTAGCAAAAGGAATAACACCCCCCCCCCCGTGAATAAGCAGTGGGGTGGAGCAGTTAAAGCCTTCTGCAAGCAGCCTTTAAAATGCCCTTCATGCCTTCTCTCTGCCTTGCCTTGCCTCTGGTGCACAAGGCCAGCTGTGACTCCTGTCTGCCCACAATTCTAAGCTTACAGAGCTAGAGGTTTGCTGTACCTGGTCACGGCAAAGCTCTGTGTTGGAGCGGTAAGTCCGGGTCTCCAGACGGGTATGAGCCAGTTTCAGATTCACCACCTTTGCCCGGATGTCGTCCTCCAGGCGCCTGATGTCCTCTTCCATTTCGGCAATTTCTTCTAGGGTCTGAAAAAAGCAAAGACACCATGGGGGGAGAGGCTTAGAATTGGTTGCCACCTCTGTCTGTGAGGTGGGCCATACAGGAGGAGCACATGCAATGGCAGAGCTTTGCATGCAGGAAGTCCCAGGTTCAGTCCCCAGCAGCATCTCCAGGTTGTGGGATAACTGCCCTGAGACCTCCAAGTATAGGGTCGTATAGTAATTCAATCAACAAACAAACAAACAAACAAAATACTTAAGTCTAATTAATGCATGAAAGGGTTAATACAATAGAGTAAGCTGTCCTGCTCAACTTAGCTATGGCTCATCTTTCTCGGGGAAAGGGCCACACTGAAACATAGCCAGCTCTCTGACGGCCACATGGCAAAGTGGGTGTGACCCAAGTATGAAAGTGAGTGTGGCAATGATTGCGGTTCTCAAGGCTGCCTTCTAAAAGGGGACCTGCAGAAGCAGTCAGAAACTAAATGAAATGGGATGAGATGGAATGGAATGGAATACTATTTTTAAGAGAAAATGTGTCACAGACAAATTTGGGAAAGTTTTGGGCCCTAAAAAAAAAAGGCATTTAGCAACAAAGTGTCACAGTGAGCGACTTACAGAAGCAGCTAGTAAAGAACCATCTGAAGACAGCCCTGTATAGAGAAGTTTTTTTTAATGTTTAATGTTTTAACATGTTTTTATGAATGTTGGAAGCTGCCCAGAGTGGCTGGGGCAGGGTATAAATAATAAAATGATGATGATGAAATAGGATGTCCCTATTTTCATCAGAGAAATGTTGAAGGGTCTGAAGTAGGTCGTGAAAAAAGGCTCCCTACCCCTCCTTCAGGCACTGGAAAAAAAGGAGAAATCCCCTCCAAGACTGCAGATGATAACACTCTGAATTGTGGAAGAGCCTTAGCATAAACCGAAGGAGACTCTGCACTCAGAACAGATATTCTATATGTGTCATTTAAAAATAAAAAAAAATGTGCAGGGCAGGTCTCCAATGCCAGCCAAAGACTTACATTCTTCTCTTGCCACCTCAGCTCATCAAGGGCTTGCTCCACTTCATGGAGCCTCTTCCGGAAGGCAAATTCTGTGGCCACGCGCTGAGCTTCTAGTTCATTCTCAGTCTAGAATAGGAAACACACATGGGCATAGCCAGAAAGGGACAGGGAGGGGCAGCTGCCCCCCTAAATTAATAAAAGGCAATAAAAATACATAGCTAACTGAGGTTCTGCTCCCCTCCCAATGAAAGGCCTGGCCCCTACTAACAAAAATCCTGGCTACGCCTATGGAAACACATATAAAAAGTTAGGCCACTATCATATCATAGTTTAATAATTGCACATAGATTGAGAGAGCCATCATTTTGCAATGATGTATAGTGGTTTGGCTGTTGGCCAAACAGATTTTACAGCATTTTGAAATGTAGATGGGCACAACGGGTTTTGGAAAGGAAAAAAAGTTGAACAAGTGTATATGCCACAAACGACGACTCCTCTTTCAAACCACTTTTAATTCTCAAAAAAACAAAATCCCAAGTTGCATCCAGCAAAGTTGTTGCATTAGCACAAGGACTACTACTTGCACAGTGGAACTTTCCCTCCTGCTTCCCCCCACGAGCTCCCCACATCCGTTCCAGGGTTTCCCCAACCCTCTGGAGCAGATTTGGGGAAGGGGATGAGTGAGAGAGGAGAGGGAGGGGGTTGTTCCATCGCACAGGCAATTGCCTTTGAGCTAACAAGGCTGTTGGAATAATCAGCCTTTAATTAAACAGCCTTTCCCCCTTTCCTCCTTGCTTCTGCTGCATCCAGTAAAGGTTGGTGATCCTGAGCAAAAAAGTTCCTTCATTTCAACAGTATAATTTTAGGCTGCAGGGATCCATCTAGTTGCTGCCATTGATAAATCATTAGGCACCAGAAAGCTTTGCCAATCAATGCAAACCACTAAAAGATCTTCCAGCAGATCCAGATCAGACATTCAGTAGATTACTTTGAAAACAAGTCACCTTAATTATGGATCTACTCACAGCCTTTGCCAACCTGAAGCCCTCGAAATGCTTTGGAGTATACTGTAACTCCCATCAGGTGGGAGGTGTGGTACTTCTTAGGACCAATGGGAGTTGCAGTCCAAAATACCTACAAAGCACCAGGTTGGCAAAGGCTCTATAACATACAGTAATGTATCTTCTCCATCAAGAGCCTTCCTAGGAGCCAATAGGAAGCCATGTGGTTTACCTGGGCAATGGTGAGGGCCATGGCTTCTCGCAGATCTGAGGCTGCTTTCATTTCTGCCTCTGCTCGATCCTTGTTGTATTGAGTGATCTGATCCCATTCCTCTGGAGTGAGAGTTCTACAACAGACAGAAGGAAAAGATGGCCTGGTTGTTAGAATCAATTTTTCTCACACACTTTCTCCCTGTATTGCCTTGCATGTTTTTAAACTGTATGTCTGCAGCTTTGAAAGCCAATGGTCAGAAAAGAGCATACTGTATCAATAAAGTTTAACTCACTCACCCACCCATGCAGTGCACTTAATAAAAGCACACTAAGCTCGCAGTGTGCCAAGTATTTCATCTGCATTTTTTCTGACCATTCTCCATCAATTAATGAGGAAAGAAATAACATTGGGGAAAATACCAAAGGGGATAGGAAATTCAGTGAAACACATGGGGTTTTGACGTACTTCCCTTAATTCTGAGGTGGGCAAGTTGCTGTTTGTGTGGCTGAGTGCCCTTCCGTTCATTATACAAATCTTCTCTCAGGCAGTCTGCACTCTGCAGCACAGCCCCCCCCCCCAGCACACACACACCTGCATATCTGTCCTTCCTGAAAACCTCATGAAGTCCTTGGCTGGGCTTTCCTCTAAGAACAGAGGGTAAAGCTGCTGCCCCTCCCGGGCGTTGCTTGTTGTTTTGAAAACCAAGACTTTACTTTTAAGGAAATCATTACAGAAAGATTAAAGGTAGAATGACATGCTTTTAAAGAGGACAAAAGGAAGCACTTTTTAAACAATATCGGTGAACACGTTGATTGCAGGTGCTTGGTAACTGCCGTATTTTTCACTCTATAAGACGCACCCGACCATAAGATGCACCTAGTTTTTAGAGAAGGAAAACAAGAAAAGCCAGCAAGAGCCGCAGACACGCTCGCTCGGCGTGGCTCTTTAAAGATAGAGTGGCTCTTGCTGGCTTTTCTGGGAGGTGGGAGAAGGGACTGACAGACTGCCCTCCGTCCATTTTCCCACCTTCCTGAAAAACCAGAGCAAGCTGCGCAGCTATCGCTGAAGCCAGAAGAGCTTGCTGTGGTGGCTTCAGCAATAGCTGTGTAGCGCCTCTTCAGTGAAGCAGGAGGAGGAATGGAAGGGGCTCCGTAAGGGCTTCCTTCCGTCCCTCATCCTGCTTCGCTGGGAAGCCAGCAGAACAAGAGGCGCTGCGCAGCTCTTGCTCTTGCTCTGCTGACTTCAGCGATAGCTGTGCAGCCTGCATTCGCTCCATAAGACGCACACACATTTCCCCTTACTTTTTAGGAGGAAAAAAGTGTTGTCTTATGGAGCGAAAAATACGGTACTTTCACCAGTTTCCTACACTTCAATCAAAGCCGAGGGGAAGACATGATGTTAACTCCGCCCATGGGAGAAGGCCCAAGCAGCTGGGGAGGCTGCGGAGGGCAGGAGAGATGTTTAATGGGAAGAAAAACACATCCCACCACAACCCACAGTTACCTCACAAGGATGAGACCTAATGCCAAACCTACCAGAAGTGTGAGGAAATTATAAAGCACCCTGTGAAAAAGGCAGAAAAACAAAAGCCTCTTTTGTAAGAGAGGGACAATTTCAAGAAGTTGCAGAGTCATAACGAGGGCTTAGCATAGGCCTCCAGTTGTCATGCCACACCCTGCTCTGGGCCTCCAACAGAAAGGTACAGCCAGGGCACTCGGGAAGGGGCACCTCAGTTGCCACATTCTGTCTAACAGGAGGGCTGGCCCTGAGGTGAAGGTGGAGTTCAAGACCTTTTGATGGTTGTTTCGCAAGACACAACCTTACCCAATCGGCACTCGGGTAGGATTGACTTTATAGGAGATATTTGGAGAGTTGATATTGAGGGAAACACAGGTCCGGTCAATCTCCACGGCTTCCGTTTTCCCTCGATGGGCAAAGTTCAGCTGTTGGCGGGCTTCCTGCAACAAGCTATGAATTAAAAGTGGGGGGGGGGGAGAGAAAGGGCAGCTATGAAGGGATGCAAGAGAATATTCAGGTGGAAGTCTCCAGATTTATTCCCCTTTCATTTTGTTTAACAATCAGCAATTAAAACTCCCATAAATTGTTGGCAGTCAAAAAAGTCTCCCCTCTGTAGCAGAATATATTATCACATGATGGTGCCATTAATGCTGAACGCAGCACACACCATATACAAGTGTAGGTGTATATTTTGCCTACAACACAAAGCCCTTGTATCACTGCTAGTTCTTTTAAGAAAAACAGAGGAATTTATAGTTGCAGAGCAATTACAATCCCCCCAAATCACTTTAAATCTAGGATTGTGTAAACAAGACAATCAGATGCTAAAAGGGAGCTGAATATGATGGGGAATGAGCCCCCAAGTAATTGGGGGGCTTTGATTATCCCATTTCTTTCTCTGCCAAATAAAAGAAGTTATAAACAATGCAATGGCCTTTCTCTTGGGTATGTAATACTAGATGGCGTTTCAGCTTGCTTTTTTTTTAATTGACCAAATAGTAGCAAAGATATAAAAGGTGTTCTACAAGGTACACTGAAAAACTGTTGCAATGTGGGAACCCGAGTTGTCAAATGTCCAGCTAAACTCTAATATCAGCCAGTAAATTTATTATTTTGGGTACTAGAGATAATACTGTTTCAGTGATTCTTAAAACGTGTCCCCCTATTGTTTTAGTATTGCTTTTATAATATATAACCCTAGAAGACTTTTCAAAAGGCAGGATATTAACTGACAGCACAATCCCAACCAAGCCAACTCAGAAGTAAATCTTACGTGAATTTAATGGGGCTTACTCTCAGTTAAGTGGAGTTAGGATTGCAGCCAAAGTAAGTAAATAAATGAAGTATGGCATGCCTTACAAGGTTGGTGCAATTATTACTGAAAGAATGTATGTGATGCTCAAATGTGGTGGAAATTTGAAATGCACTGTTGCTACAAACATCTAAGTATTGTTATGCAGTGCTTTTTTTCTAGAAAAAATGGTGCCAGAAATGGCCGCTCACTGCCTCTCCCCACCACACCCCACACCTGCCTCCCTCCCTCGCCCCGCAACCCCCACCCCAATGTGCACCCTACAAGCCCTTCCCTTCACTCATGCCTCCCTTCCGAAGGCTGGCTATGTGCCATTCTGCACCATTAAGACAAGTTTTTTTTGCGCCTCCTCCAGCATCCCACATTGCACTTAACTCAGTTTGATGCCTCAGACACAATACCAATACGTTGTACTTGACCACCAAGTCTTTTGACTCACCAGAGCTGCTCAAAGGCCTCGCTCACTTTCTGCTGAAGATCTTTCGTAGTAGCATCAATCACCTCCACCTCTTTGTGCAGTTCTTCCTCGACAGGATCCTTCACCACATCGATGTCTCGGCGGCTTTCCCGCAGAGTGAGATTTTCAATGGCCACATCCAGTTGCAAGTTCTTAGCCTGCAGGGCACGCTCTGCCTCCTCCTTCATCTGAAGGGAAGAAGCAAAAATAAGATAAGGGGTTGACCTCACCTTCCCAACTCCCTCTGTGGGCATCTTGTCAAGTGACATAGGTTTGCTAACCAATCAGGTTTCCAATGGGAATGCTTTGCAGGTGGGCCAAGCACGTTCTGACACATGGAGATGAAAGCTGGGTTGCTCAGCTTTCATCTCAAAGAGGTCACTGAATTTCCTTCCATCTTTAGCATCACAGAAACCATTGGTTACATGCCATTTACTGCACAGAACCACCCAAACCACTTTCTCAGCACACCAAAATTGAGTTGCATGACCTTTGCCCTTCATTGCACAATTCATATTATTCGTTCTTCTTCGGTGATCACTTGTAGCCGAGTAAGATGTCTTCCATGCACACGCTTTTAACAGTGAATCTGTAAGTGCACATGCACACACACTCAGCCCGGATAAAAGCATAAATAATCCTTACATGCCACGTGGCCTCCGATGACCTTCATTCCAACGAAGCCAGATCCAAGGCATGTGCTGGGACCCCCTGAGACCTCCCACCCCGAGAGACTAGGGTGCACCTAACAATACGTTGTGTGAAGTGTTTTCATACTTCTGTACACTATCCTAGAATCTCCTGGTGAAATTCAGTTTAGGAACACCATAAATGAGTAAGTCTGCACTACATACTTGAGTCAAGGCATAGATTTCCGTGTCGATGTCCGTGAGGCATTTGTCCAGAGTTTCCTTCGCTCGATTGACGACTTCGATCCGCTCAAGAAGGCGTGTGCGGTTGTCATATTCATCCCATTTTGTCTGGAGAGGAGAGAGGCAATGGTTTCAAACCCCCCTTTCAGAGAGGGCATCAGCAGCATGGTTCTTACAGGAAGAAGGAAGGCTAAGCTCAAGATTGCCCTTCCTTATCTTGACAAGTTCCTGGCCCATTCTTTAGACATGTACATTTCACACAGACATGCTAGTGTGGAAATTATTTGTGAACAACCTTTCCTTGGTTTTGTGAGGAAAAGCTGAAACTTCCTTCAATCTACCTTCTCAAAAAAACAACAACAAAAAAAACCAACAACACAAAAACACACACAATAAAAACCCTCAAATGATTAAATTTCAGTTACAATTCAGGATGAACCAATCTGCCAATTTTGGTTCATCATAATTTCAGAATTTGTATTTCTGTTCTGCCTATTCAGCAATGATCCCATACCCTCCTCGCCCCATCCCACCACCACCTCCAGATTTCGGACCCCAAATTATCATTTTAGTTTGTTTGTTTTTGTTTGGAAACACAGAAAAGAAGCTCAAATACTTGCCCACCTGGTTATTTGTTTCATTGCGAAGGACCCGGCCCTCCTGCCTGATCTGGTGGGATGCCAAGCGCTGTCGCTCAGCATTGGTTGCAATGAGGTCAAAGTGGGTGCGCCAGTCTGGAAGTGTGTACCTCTGGCCGGGCTTCACACTCAGAGTCGCCATGGCAGCAACATTCTAGGAAAGACAAAAATGAAGGCAACACATTCAAAGATACTGGACTCAGGGGCCAACATGCTTGCTCAACACATAGCAGCCTGTTATTCATTACACTTTTTTTCTGAATTACAAGCAAAAATTTTTTTTGGGGGGGTGACGGTGACTTTTATTTTACTTAACAAAATTTACAGACTGCTTAATAAACAAAATCTAAGTTGCTTGCATAAAATAATAGAAAATACTAGAAAATAATAATCAAGCCTTCTAACTCTTGGAATAGTCAGCTCCTAGTGAGGTGATAGCCTTGGTGATGGGCCATTAAGGAGAGCAAAGGAAGGGGCTCTGTGGGAGATGGCAAAGAGGTGGATAGAATCACCTCCCTTAACTCGCATGGGAGTTAGAAGGGAAAAGCCAGAGGTGAAAGTTGAGTTTTAGTAGTGATGTGAGCTAGAGGAAAAAAGCAGCAAACTGGAGAGAGTCAGAGCAAATGGCTTCCAATATCTCCATTGAAATACCTTTGGTTATTGGGGGTGGAGTACAGGGGTTGGGGACACTACTCATCTGTTTATTTTTATTTACTAAACATAGGTCAAACAAAATTCAAAAGAGCAAAATCGGTTCTCCATTTAGGGCAGTGCAGCTGATGCAAAATTTCCTGGAAAACACACATCCTTGCTTTCAAACTTTAAAATGTTGCAGAGGCTGAAACTACTGTATACTCCCCTGCCATATTGGCTGACCCTCTTTCCATCTACCTCTTTTCAGTTGTCACTATTATGTACATTGAATAAACCTGTACAAAGAGGGTTGGGAAGTCTATTGTCCTCCAGACGTTGTTGGACTACATCTTCCATCATCCCTGACCTTGGCCATCTGGTTGTGTGTTATGGGAATTGAAGTACATCTGGAGAGCTACATGCTCTCTACCCTTGCTGTAAAATTTGTGACCCACTGAGTCAATAACCCTCCTTGTTTTGCTGCCTAGCGCATGCTCTATTTTTATTCCTGCCCATTCCTCAATACTGCTCATGATGGCATACATTCTGTTATCCGATCCCTTTTATCCTAACAACAGCCCTGTGAGGTAGATTGGAGCAAGATAGCAAGAAAACCAAGCCCACGTTTACCCTATGACAATCCAGAGCCGAGTATGGATTGGAACCCATAGTTCCCCAGTCCTCGTCCAATAAAACCTCTACACTAATCTGAACCAATTGTGGGCAGCAAAAATTACGTCCAAACTGCTTCTTCTGCAGAGGGGAACATTTTCACCTCCACAGAGATTTCAAAGGGGTTCCCTGTAACTCTAGCCGATAGGTGCTGATAGCATATATTCAGAGAAGGTTGCTGTAACTTTCACAGGTGTCAAATACCTGGTGTCATTATGATGTCAGGTGACTGACAGGTGGCTGGCCCCACCCACCTGCAAAGCTTTGTTCTGGTCTATCCCACTGGGCAGGTCACAGAAGAGAGTTGATGGGCTGCTTCAGGTGGGGTGGGCCAGGGTATTAAAATCCAGGGAGAATGCAGAAAAAGTAAAACCTCTCCAAACTCTAAACTCCAAACTCTGCTCTAAAGAATTATGCCTTCTGCTCCTCCTGCCTGAGACTGGTGTGTATTCTGCAACAGCTTGCTAGCAGCCTGCTTATCCCTCCCTGTTAATGTTAATGGAAGCTGATGAGGTTTCTTCTCCCACCCAGTTCTATTTGCAATTATTATTTTTTAATTTAAAAAATCACACACTTTGTTAGACAGCAACATGTAGATGTTTTGGTAGGGAGGAGGTGGTGGCAGCATTTGGTTTTGCCAAAATTTATCAGGCTAGCCTAATGAATTGTTGTTACTGGTGGGAGAAAAGGAGGGAACTCTGCCCAGCAGGAAAAGCTGCAGGTTCAGATGTGGAAAGATTTTGAACGAAATTACTTAAGACAGAACTGGGAGGTGGAACAGAAGGTTGGCAAAGTGGATGCAGAACACAATTTTGACTTGCAAAGAAAGAAAGAAAGAAGGAAGAAAAGAAAGAAAGAAAGAAAGAAAGAAAGAAAGAAAGAAAGAAAGAAAGAAAGAAAGATCCCCAACAACAACAACTGTCTCTACCCTTCCATCATCAACTCACCACTCCTCTTCTCCAGGCAGGCAGTCCTCCTCTCGGCCTCCGCTTCCTACAACTGCTCTTCTGTTATCAGCCTGGTTGCTAAGCACGCTTTGTGCCTGTTGCCAGGCAGCCATTCTCAACAGAAGCCAATCAGAAAGAATCCCCCTGCAAGTGTTTACAAAGGGGGTGGGGGAGGGGGAAGCCATGGCAACCTGGAGATCTGAAAAAGAACAGGCTTCAAAGGGCTGGTGAAAATGATTCGATCACAGAATAGCAGGCTGGGTTACTTTCACCCTGCCCATCCAACTCAGAGGTTACAACAAGGAGCAGTGGATTTGAGAGCGTCTCGGGACAATAAATGCCTCCCTAAGTGTATCTGGTGGATTGCCCTGCTGTCTTGGTTGAATCTTGCATATGTATTTTCAAGATCAATGGAATACACCTAGATAGCATCCCCCCCACACAAAAAATGTGTTCATCTTCTGCAGGGCTAGTAAAGAGGGTATAGTTTTTTATAAGTAAGGCCTATATATTTTTCATAAGTCCTATATTCCAGCAGTGAAATCATCTTCTACCAAAAGAAAGAATCTTATTAAATTAGGCTTTTCTAGATGGGTTGCCAGAGAGGATCTTGAACATCCATCTGCCTGGAAAGACAATGGAGTGCACCTCCAGGGGTAGGGTCAAACTGCTGTTTTAGCAGCACCGAACTGACCTCCCCAGGGCTCAAGCCTGGGCAGTGGGTATGGAGTCCCAGGCTGCCCAAATGACAAACCCCTCTTCTTGGGCTCACTGATGCGGTCGAAACAAAAAAGAGCAATATGCTTGGCACCAGCTCGGATGCAGGAGTAAATGGAAGGAGGTGTACATAGTGCCACCCAACCATCTTAGGAACTCCATTCTGGATTTGTGTAGGGTTTACTCCTTAGCCTTTTCTTCTCCTGGAGATCTCCAGCAAGGCAGTAGTGGTTTAGGATCAGAGTATTCCTTCTCCTAGGTGGGCTCCCTTCCCAGGTTGGCGAGCCCCATCTGTCCCTCACTTCCCTCTACAGCACAAACAAAAATTGCCTTCTTGACCGTTGGACCCACTCTTGGTCTTGTTCACTTAATCCTCCAGAGCCTGTCTTTGCATGCAGGGAAAGTCTCTATCTCACCAAGGGTTAGAGACCCATCAGTTCCCCCTCACCTAGACTATTGCATGCTAATAACTTCTAGGAACCACAGGTGAGAGCTGAGTGCAGGGTGCAGACCAAAAGTGGATAACTACCAAAGAAAGAGCACGTGTCCCCCACCAAAAGTACTACTCCCCCTCCCCTAACACCCCATACACCCAAGAATTCAGTATTGGTACAGATATTCAGCCCAACATTGCAGGGAGCTGACAGAGCCTCAAGAGTCACAAATGCCTTTCACACTGCGACTCAGAGCTGGCCCAGCCATTAGGCAGGGCAAGACCACAGCTTCAGAAGGCAGAACACACACACACACTCCCGGTGACACCGCTGTAGGCACCCTGCCTGCCCTGCTGCCTCTACCAAGTTAGCGGGCAAGATAGTGTCCATTTTGGACGAGAACTTGCCCAGAATTGATGTGATCTTACCTCAAATTGGCACTGATAGCAACGGTGCTTCTCCACCAGTAACGGATGTGCTGTGGCGACGGAGTGGCCTTTGTTGGCAGTGGCAGGAGTAGGTAGATGGTGGTAGGAACAGCAGCAGTAGCGGCAGGGCAGGATGGCACTTCCCATTTCACCTCAACCTAGTGTGACTGATACATCATGTGTGAGCTGGGCATTCAAAAGTGTGCAATATTCCAGTATCAATGGTGGATCTGTGTTTGAAGAGGAACACATAGTTCCACGCTAGAGGACATACTTGCATGCAGGTCCTAAGTTCAGTCTCCAGTATCACTAGGTAAAGGAGTAACAGGTAATGGGGACAAACCTCTGGCGAGCCACTGACAGAGCAGATAGTACTGAACTAGCCAAGACCAGTCCTGCTCCAACTATATACTGGATACCAATGAGTTTCTTGACCCAATTCAAACTGCAGCTCAGAACCAAATGGTATGCCTCTCCCCACTCTATGTTTTTCATCTGAGGGTCTTCTCTGTGTGCTCCTCCAATGGAGAGGTTGAGGGTGGTAACAGAAACATGGGTCTTCTCAGTGGTGGCTCCCTGGTTGTGGAATGCTTTCTCCAGGGAGGCATGCCTGGTGCCATCTCTGTCTTTTGGCACCAGGCAAATACACTGTTATTCACCTAGGCCTTTGGAGTTTCTTTGCATATTTTTAGCAGGGTGGGGGCAAGCTGGATTTGCCCTTATATGCATGTTGTGAGTATTTTAGGATATTTTAATTCTTGTATCATATCTGTCTTTAGGCTTTGTAAGTTGCTTTGTGTTCCTTTTTGAAGAAAAGGTGACTAATAGTTTCCTGCTTGGCAGGGGGTTGGACTCGATGGCCCTTGTGGTCTATTCCAACTCTATGATTCTATGATTCTAATAATAATAATTAGTCTTACCTACCAGAAGCCTGCTTCCTTTGTTCCCCATGAGGAAGGATCAGTTATTGGTTGAACCATGCAAACAGCCTACATAATAGTAACAGTCTGGAAGCAGTCTGTCTTCTCACCCACTCCCATCTGTGATTGTATGCAACATGTCATTTGGGGTTCTGCAGAGCAAAATACCTTGATGATTATTATAGGTCACTGATGTCCTGCAATTCAGTTTTAGCTTCAAAGTGGCTGGGCTACTAATAACACATGCTAATCAATGGGTGATCAAAGCAGGGTATCCTGATGCACATTCCTGCGGTGTAGGAGAAGGCTGTGAAGTGGCTTGTGAGGTGTGAGGCCAAGAAACCTGGAAAGGGAGCACTTTTGAATCTGGCCAGGAGATGCACCCTTAAGTTTTTATGGGGATAGTTGGCAGAAGGTGCAGGTGCACTGATCTGTGTGCTTGCTTCTGCGGTCTTACACTACTTGACTGAAGATGTATAATGTGACAACACAGGTTTTTAGCATTCTTCCTCCAAAAGGAATAACAGATCTTGTGAAAGCATGGAACTTCCCTCCAGTTAGGTGACGGAACACAGCAAGAGCATTTCCTTCACATTCGCTAATGGCTGTGTGTAATGCCATCGTAAGAGCTTATAATTTTATTTCTTTCTTTCTTTAACGAAGCAGTTTTCCAGAATTTGGTTGGTGCAACTAGGTGTAAATGATGAAACTGAAACTATGAAGTAAAACCTTAGACATTAAAATTTCTTATTGCTTCTCGTCCCTGACAATCACCATAACCAAAGTCTGGACACAAACTTGAATTCTGGAGCAAAAGCGTATTTATTGCAGTTATTAGTGAAAGTTACACTTCAAACTGAAGCAAAGCAATGCTAAGTAATTGTTTTACTTAAAAAAACAACCCACAACATAGAGTCCTTCCAGTATAGAGAAAGTGGACCAAAACAAAACAAAACATAAAAAGGAGTGGAATCTGTCACAGAAAAACAACTTTGGGGACAGATTTGGCTCAGGAGTTCCATGACTGAATTATGTACGGTTACATACTTGTAAGCGACAGAACATTAGACAAGAACAGAAAAGTGTAACTTCAACGGACAGATATGACAATGTGTTTTGTAACACAATGGATTGACCCCAAAAGATATAACTAGCAACAAGTCTGGGAGAAAACAAAAACAAACCCTGCTTGTCCAGTCTTTATCTGTACCCTCAAAGTATTTTAAGGTGAATTCATAACCTAACTGGATATTCAAGACATGGTGACAGAATTTCAGAGGCACTACCATGATTTGATACAACATAACACATCAGGTTACGCTAGGAATCAGTGGTGTCCAACCTATTTGGCAAGTGTGCCGTAAATCAAAGTATGAGTACGTATGTGGAACCAACTTCCCCACTCCCTCTCCCTCTCCCACCCCCACCCCCCCTACAGTGCCTGGATGTTGTTTTGCTTCTAGACCAGTCTTCCACAATCTGGTATCCTCCAGCTATTCTGAACCATGACTCCTATCAGCCCCAGCCAGCACAGTGGGGATGACTGGGGCTGATGGAAGTCGTATTCCAAAACATCTGCAAGGCACCAGGTTAGGGAAGGCTGGACTAGTCTACTGAACAGAGGAGCACACAGCATCACAGTGCTGGCTAGAGAGGCAGCAAGGAGTGCAAGTCCAACTATCTCAGCCAACCTGGACTGCTGCCCACATGTGCCACAAACTCCCTCCTGCTTATACCCTAAGTGGCATGCATGCCACTAACCATGTGCCAAGGCCATTTTATTTATGGCAAACATTGTTATTTCTATGCAAATGTCAGTCCAGGTTGTTGTTTTTTAAGTATAAAATTTTCCTTTTTTCCTCTTCTCCCTTAGCTGGAAAAATTGTCAGAGAAAATTTAGAAAACACACACACACACACACACACACAAAATCACACTGACAAAAAGTTTGGCAGACTAGGTTTGTGAAGTCCCTCAGAATATCTGCTTCTGTGGCATTACAAGATTGAGACCTATGAGAACGTAAGACCCCTGCTGGATCACGCCCAAGGCCCATCTTGCCCAGCATCTTACAGTGGTCAACCAGATACTTGTGGGAAGCCTGTATGAAGGAAGAGAGTGCAACAGCACTCATGATTCACAGCAGCCGGTATCCAGAGGCGTCCTGCCCCTGACAGTGGATACACTAACCTCCACCCTGGAAGTTAAGACAGTTGTGGGGTGGGAAGAAATTTATGCCACTAAAAGCAACAAGGACTTGTGTGCCAATTCAAGAACGCTTGGTCCTTAAGTAGTTAAGATAGGCTTACAAGAGCCATCCTCTTCCAACAAAGTGTGTTAAGAGCCAACCCAAGTCTCGCAAAGCTGATGGATATGTAACAAAGTTGAAAATTGTAGAAGATGACAGGCTGATATTTAACCAAACTGGAAGAAAATGCAAAGATAGCTAAACTTTTGGCAAGGGCAGTAAACTTGGCGGGGGTAATGAGTGAAGGGAGCAGTGGACACGCTGCTTCTGGGTTAAAGAGTTAAGTTTCTAAAAACATACTGAAATACAGATTTGTTATATATATATATGTATATATATATTTATCTATATTTTATATAAACCAACCCTCCCACCCTATCCCCAAATAGTTGCAGCTCACATTTGCAATACAAAGAGGCACACACGGTCAAGGTGGTTTAATAAGTAAAAATTGTGAAGGCTTTTACCAATGCACTTGCCATCCACCTGTCCACCTCCAGGAAGGCTAACTACAATAGTTCAGGTGCAACAAACTTGCTTGACTTCAGCATACTTTTGTTAAGGGAGGGGGAGAGAACCTACAAGAACACCCAGAGATTTCAAACTCATCCTATGCTTCTCTCAGAAAGCAAAACAGCAGTGCCCCACAAAGCAAGAAGTCATCAGAAATTTACAACCAAGGGCCTTAAGCTGAAGTGCAGCACCAACATGTTCCTAGGAGAATGTGAAACTATAGCTGGCCTACAGCTGGATTCTTAAGAAATGTGTCCCTGCAATGGCACACAGAATAGTGTTGACATCACCAACACAATGCCCCACACAAAGGCAATCTGCCATGCTATGTATTTCTTATAGCGGACCAACTGCTCAGTGCAGCCCTAAGCACCTGATGGACCCACAGTGAACGGAATGTCTTGAGGATGGAGCTTACATTTGTCCCCCTAACTACACACACACAATGTTAATACTATACTGTTACACAGTTTAAAGTCTGCCTTATTAAGGAAACTGCTTGAAGGGTCATTTCTCTCATGGATATAGCTTCCATACAGGAATACCTTGCATATACCACCTGTCCCCTGTAACACGAGACCAACATGCATAGGTCCATGTGCAGATGCATGTGGAAAGGATGCAGTGACTGGCAACAGGTTCTCACTGTGTGTGGATGTGGCCAAATAGACACCCGTGTGCTTGTCACATGTAGCATACATACAATTCTCTTAGACAGAGGGTACCCATACAGTTAGCAGTCATGC